ATGGAGGGTAAGAGCTAATAAAAGCATTGCAGAGAGTCAACAGAAATCAACTTTTTTTAATATTTTTTAATTAAAAATATTTTAAAACTGCCTTTGTAGAAAAGTGGCAGCTCATATAATCTTACAGAAATTTCACAAAAAGAAATAGTGTTAAATTAGAAAAATACGTGGCATTTGAAATACATGCAGATTTAGGAACAGAAACAGGATTAGAGGCCTCAGGCAACAGGAATTGGAGATGTCACACAGTATTAATTCATGGGAGAAGCCACTAATTCACATGGCACAAACCCCAAAAGGAAAAAACAGTGAATTTCTTGGCTAGCAGAGAGATTCTAACTTATCTTTTTGATAAACAATATAAAAAAGGCCATACATGGATTCTACAAATGAAAAGTCATTTACCAGGTAGGAAAAAAAGAAGTAAATAATAATTAAAGTGTCAGGGACTTGTTACCCAGAACACAGCTCTCACATCAGATCAAGAATTACAAAAATGAATAGGGAAACACTCCATTCTTGAATACAAGAATTTTGGGGGTAATGAAAGTTTTGGGGGTATGAATTCACTATGACACAGCTTGCTCTAATTCATCAGAATAGCAGGAGGAGAAGGTACAAGGAAAAGCACACAGACAAGGAAGTTCTGTTTCTCTGCATTGTGGGGATTCAGACTGAAAAGCCCCAACCTTCCTCCCCCACCTTTGCTGATGGACACCTTTCCAAGGAAACACCAGCAGCTCATTGTCAGTGATGTCCCTGCCCCAGCCCTGAGAAGAAAAATATAACGGGGAAGGGGCAAATAGATGCCATCAATACCCAGAGCAGGTTTTATGCTGGGAGAGGGAGTTATTGCCATATAAAAGTCTGTCCTATCCTCAAGAAAGTGTTTTGCACACTGGATTCATTCTTTCCCCACAATCGACTTAGTGATTTGTGAATAAATTATACAAGATGCCTAAAAGACTTTGAAAAACTCAAAAGGAGTTAGGGAAAGTATTGATCAACCTACTCTCCTTCTGAGCAAGAAGAGATGCTAGAGGGAGAGCCAGAGCCATCCTTGTGCATCCCACAGACAGAGGCCAACAGCCACCAGCACACACACACTCCCTCCTGAGATCCCAGCACTGCTCACTTTTTAGTCTCAACTTTTTCCACACAATAAAAAGCCACCTTACTGACCATAACTGCTTCTGTCTGCACTTACAGCTTATTCAGTGGGCAAACCAAAGCTGGTAACTGCATGTGCTGAGTTCTAACAGGGAATGATACACTCCAGCAAGAAGCCCGACATGCTGGGCTGTCTACTGAATTCTTGGTTTTAATTTAGAAGTTTACTATAATAAATATAAAATACACCCTTTTCTAAATATAAGCTTCCACATACCTTCTACAACAAAAGATTCCCAGAGATTTTAGATCAGGCAGCCTCTCACGAGAGGAGCAGAACCACAACACTCCCTTTGACATACAATCAGATGAACCATTTTCTTTCTCTGATTTGCTAATGATGCAAAAGGAACTTTGCAAAAACAGTTTACTACACTAAGAATAGTGGCAAAATCATTAATTTCTACCAGGCCTGTGCTTTAGCAACTAGAAACAAGGTTTAACTAGTAGCATGTAACCAACCAATTCTTCCCAGATCAACAGCAAACACTCTGTGTTTTAACAAATGCTCTGATTTATGCAGCCTGTTCTTTTAAGATTATTTCTGAACATAAAGGATATAGAAGAAAGAAGATTCACAAAGCTGAACAATGGGATAATAAGCCTATGAACAACTAGGCAACTTAGAAGTGAATCCATGGGAGGAGAGGATTTTGTCACCCTAAATGCATTGATCTAAATAGCCAACTCTTTTTAACACTGAGAATTCTATTTACACCACTCCACAGACACAGCTTTAGGCATTTTATTCAGATGGAGTGGCTCTCTCTTTTCTGTTGAAGTGAATGAGGCATTTCAGAAACATTACTTTGTTAAATATATCTGCAGATATGTACAGCTACATTTTTTATGAAAGATATTTTCTTACTAGGTGCCTGAGCTGACCACTATACTGTATCAGCTAACACCAAAATAATAACATATCTTCCAGTTGCAAAGCTCAGTATCAACTACAAATACAAATTTAAGAGGCAAACTGCTCTCCAGGTAGTAAAAAGCCACAGATAGCTTGAAGAAGTTACTAATTCAAGCATCACTCCTTAATGTAGTGTGAAACTCAATTCTGAAATCCAATCAACAGATTTTACATTTACTGTAGTTGTGACAGAAGTCAATGGCCTTAAAATGTTTTCACCTCTCAAAAGTTGCAAAGGTTCAAGCAAAAATGTCTGTTTAAGCAAAATCTTTACATCATAATAGCTAACCCAAATCTGTTACCCTCCAAAACTAACACACAAGTCTTCAGCAATTTCAAGAGCTGCTTAACAGGAAGAAATTCACACCCTTGAGGCAGAAGCACCACATCTGACGTAGTAGTTAGAAAAAAAAGTCAACCCTACATATGCCCAAAACAAAAAACAAGACAGCCTTTCAACTAGGAAGACTCAATCTTAGTAACAGGTTTAGCCATATATTCCTGATTTTTCTCCTAAACCAACATATTGATGCTTGAAACAAAGAGAATGTGGCGTCCTGCGTCCATAGGCGAAGCAATTTTGGACATCAGTCAGAACAGAATTACATCAACTTTAACTGGTTTTAAAAACTGTCCTTCATTTTGTAGGCTTATGTACCCTACTTAAAAGACTTATCTGACACAAAACAGTCGTCTCAGCCAATGATTTCCCCTTTTACATACCACAAAAGAAAACTACTGTGATTTTCTACACTACCACAAAAATAAATACAAAAGGGGGCAAAGACATGACCCTTGATATAAGTCCAAGTAATGCAGAACCACAGAATGGGTTTAGTGGTATGAAAGAGTTAATTGCTGCTTTTAATTACACAAAACTGACTTTCATGGGAGTGAACACTCAGCAACATCTATAAACACAATGTCCACATTAGCAGAACACCAGGTATGAAACCCCTGCCAACACTACTTGTACAGGGATTGTTTTGTTTGTTTTAATCAAATTTTATGAAGTTCTGCTGTATTTGCAGAGCTCTGCAAAAAAACCTGTAAAGATGAGGAGCTTTAAAGAATCTAACATGCAATAGTAACCATGACAATAAGAAAAATGCTTTTGCTAATCTTTTTCTTTCACCTGACAATACTTTCAAATACTGGTGTTTTTCTTCTAGATGACAACTTCTGTTTGTTGCTCACTATGAATTCCAGGCCTCCCATCCTTGTAAACCTGAAACTTTTGACCAAGGAAGCAGCAATCTGGGGGGCACTGAAAACATGGGATGAGACCTAACTGTGGTAGGATGGACATCACCTGTTGGCAACTATATCTTACTTCATTGTTGCTCTGGATAGCGGCATGAAAATCACATTTTTAAGGTAATTATTCTGCAAGTAAATGGGGAACCTAAAAAAACCCCAAAAAACAACAGAAAGGCAGAATGCAGATAGGATATTCCTCTTGAGATCACAAAACTGCTGAGATATGTTAGAATCTGGCCCCAGGCAGGCTGATCATAAACTTCAAGAAAACAGCCTGGGACTCCTCTACACTGATTTTGTCTTGGTTTTATATTAAGTAGGAGTTTTAAGCAATAAAAAAAAAAAAAATAAAGATTCTTCAGAGATTTATCATTGCTCTCTACCATTTCTCCAAAAGGCATACTCACCAAATAGGACAATGCTTTCAAAAGATGTATGGGATAAGGATCTGAAGTCACATATTGAAAAGTGACTAAAGGGACGATTTTCAAAGGCATTAAGATACCTAAAGATGCATTAAGCACTTAAAATTTTCAAAACTGCCTGGGCATCCAACGCCTATTTAAATCACTTAGTCCTTTTTGAAAATCCCAGTGGGCAGTTATCTACATTTTATGTGTCTATATGCCTTTGAAAATCTGTACCATTAAATACTTAACAACCTAAGTACCCCTGGCTTTTAATGGGATTTTGAGTCCTAAAAAGTGTAAGTACATCTGAAAATTGGTCAAGCCACTCTCTTTGGTCTTTTTTTCCCCTTTCTTTTAAAGAGGCATCTCCTAATGCTTTATCCATAGCATGTCATTTAAGTAGAGCTTCAGCACTGTCCACCTTACACACTGAGCTGGGCACATTTGATTTGTTTTATGGAGGTAAACAAATAAAAATCCAGAGTACAGACTGCATCCTCAAAAAAGACTTTCTGAAGCTCCTAAAAAGAAATGAAATTCCAATCTGTAACCCCAGTGAATGCCCCCCAAAAAACACGTTTTCAGTAAATGTGACCTCACATGAGAACAACTTAGGCTGGTAAAGAACCAACACTATTGTTTAATACCCATGCAACATATTCAAAATAGCACAAAAAAAAGTTCTGAAAGGCAGCCACACAGCAACAAAAAAAAAAAAAAAAAAAAAAACAAAAAAAACCAAAAAAAAACCAAAAAACCCAGAAAAAGGAGGAAGTTGTGAATAGGCTCTTTAAAAAGGCAGCAGTTCCAGAAAAGAAGACAAGCTTTAATTCGGAATTTTCTTTTTCTAAAAAACTGTATGAAGCTATAAAGCATTCCCTTATGCAAGCATTTGAAAGATGTATCTTCTGATCTTCTGTAATGTCAATAGGAGGTAACTTGCACTGACCAAATTCCCAAAAAGGAACGGATTTGTAAATTGGGAACGCAGGGAATCAGATTGCCACCTACAGGAAAATTCAGCATTTATTGTCAAGAATGACTCAAAAGGAATACAAATTGCCATCCTGCCAAGCATTCTTTCATTTCAAAACCAATTAGTCTTTTCTTTTGTGCAACCATATCATGAGCTTCCTAAATCCAGGAAGCCATTATAATTTCTTTTTATTTATGAGTACTGCTTGAAAGTTTCATAATTCAATAACAAAATCATGTGTCAGTTAAAGAATTTTAAGTCTGCTTACCTGATACCATTGGTGCTAGCCTGAATATGTCTGATAGTCTGCTGTTAACTGGCTCATAAGGGGAATCTTCAAGCAAGTCATTTCCTAAAGACAAAAAAATATTTGGATGTTTTTCTTACACATGAATTCAGGATAAGATTTTTTGTTTATTTTTACTCCATAACAGTGAAATGTACTTCCCTTTAATCCCTTTAAAAAGTTTATATGGCTACTTGTTTTCAAAGAATTACCTGTAAAAACACCTGAAATAAGCTAATTGTTTATCCCTGTCACTGGATATCTTCTCTCCCTCCTCCCTGGGTAAGGTCATAATTTGCAGAGACAGCTTGTGACATCACAGGGACTGTCCCATCTCCTGCCAGCAGGAGAGAAGCTGTAGCAAGGATGCTCCTCTTCATTCACCACAACAGCAGAGCTCTTTTTTAGAAGCTCAGCTAACAGCCAAAAACTATCATCTCTGGTATGAAACACTCCTGACAGGATGCTGCTGGAAAAGAAACTTTTTATGATGTAGAAAACGTCTCTTATTACCTTTAACAAAAAAAGTACATATGGACTCATTAAAATATATGGACAAATGAACAGAAAGGGATTGTTTCCCTTTCTGCAGAAGCAACTTTAAAAAAAGTTAAATGGGGAGCACACTGAAGTGAGAGATTGTACCTTCAACTCCAGGGCCACAGCAAGACAGGACTAAAAATGATGTGTCTCATATGAGGACCTGACTGTTCTCAGTAGACTAACAGAAATTTGCCTTATGAATACGAATAACAGAGCAGTCCTGAGTCAATCACTGTGGTATCTCTTCTAACTGGCCCATCTACATGCTGTAGGAACCATAAACTTTGGGGTTTTTTCTGCCTCTGGAAATACTGCGAGTAAATACAGGAAAGGAAAACATAAACTTTCACTTAAAACAACCTTCTCTTCGAAACTAGTTCCAGCGTCCTGTTGGGTGAGCCCTAATAAAGGAGTTTTAACACGATTAGGAGAATGCCTCCAAATGACGGTTTTAGTGATGCTCGTGCCCCTATCTTCGGCTGCGGTGCACGAAGGTCAGCTGGGTCCCTGGAGGAAGCTCTGGCTGCGGCTTTGGCAGCCCGGGAGCGGAGCCGCAGCTGCGCGGGGCGCACGGGGCTCCTGGGGCGGCAGCTGCGGGCACAGCCAGGGCCTGGGGGGCACAGCCAGGGCCTGGGGGGCGCAGCCAGAGCCCTCGGGGGCGCAGCCAGCGCCCTCGGGGGCGCAGGCGGAGCCCCTCGGGGGCGCAGCCAGAGCCCCTCGGGGGGCACAGCCAGGGCCCCTCGGGGGGCACAGCCAGGGCCCTCGGGGGCGCAGCCAGGGCCCTCGGGGCGCACAGCCGGAGCCCCTCGGGGCGCACAGCCGGAGCCCCTCGGGGGCGCAGCCAGAGCCTGGGGGGCAGCCAGGGCCCTCGGGGGCGCAGCCGGAGCCCCTCGGGGGGCGCAGCCGCACACCCGCACCCTGCGCTGGGGGTTCTGCGTTCGCCACGTACCCTGCAAGCTCTGGTACATGCTCCAGTAAATGCGCAGGCAGTTCTTCTCCTTCTTCATGCCCCTCTTGCAGCGGCAGTTGTACAGGGATTTCTGCTTGAGAGCTTCCATGGCGCTTCTGCATTCGTCCTTCGCCTCCAGGCCCGTGGCCCGGCTGAAGTTGCTCTCTTTGCCGGCTACACACTGCCTCAGTGTCCTGAATTTAGTACTACAGCTCTGCTCCTTCAGACACTGATCGCTGGCTTTCACGCAGTCCAGGCGGTCCCCTCCAGGCAGCCCGCTCACTTCTGCAGACAAAAGTACATCTGTGGAGAGCAGACACAAACCAACCCGCGCTCTTTGGGGGAGCAGCGTGCCTGGAACCCCCGATCCTGAGCAGCACCGGGGAGGCACGGGGCACCTCCTCACGCTGCACATGCGGCCAAGCCCAGGGGCAGCACCTTGCAAACCTCCTGGCTTCATGCTACGCCTTAGGAAAAAGCACACAGGGTTTCCGTGGGCTTAGATCCACTTTCGGGGGAGTCCAATGAAACAGTATTTTTTAACCCTGATGGCTGATTTATGAGGAAACAGAAAAATGAAAGAAAACCCGGAGGGATTAATGTGCCTGATAAAACAAGCATTTGTTATTCCATAGATCCACTTTGGTGAAACAAATCAGCTTTCCATTGCAGGGTTTAAGTAAGGGGTTAAACATTCAGCCTCACTTTCCACAAGAGCTTTGCTGTAATTTCACTTACATCCAGGAACAGCCCGCTCAGAGAGATAAGTATCCTCACTGATTGATATTAGCCTGTCTTTGCGTCAGTCACTTTTTAAAGGCTGTGCACATTTTTGCTTATTCTATATGCATAAAGGTAGAATTTGTTACTTCCCCCCCTCCCCACTTCTCTCCACGTATGATGCTTTTGCAGGAGAACAAAGCAAATTGCATTAACTCTCTCCTCTCCATCGTGCCCCCGTCATGCTCCCTCAGACACATGCGGATGGAAACGCAAACCTCTCCTGTGGAAAGGAAACCAGTTTGGGCTGCAAACCACTACCAGTCGGGCAGGTTGCCAGGTTCAGGTGAAGATGTAATCCTTCAGCTGGTCTTGTCATCCCCCACCCTCCCCAGGCAGCCTTATTTTATTTAAATGAAAAGTTTCCCTGTAACTTGCGAGAACCCAATTTAACAAGAGGCTAAACGGGCAAGTACCGAAGTCTATAACCTACAGAGCTTTAAACGCAGACCGGGCTAACTGATATGAGGCAGAGCCATTAAAACTACTGGAAACTTCACTGTTCTGCCTAAACAATAGACTGACAAGCATCAGGCTCCCGGTCCCATAAACCCTATGCCTCGCTTTATGAAGCGATGTGCAAACCGAAATCAGGCACCAGCAACTTACCCACTAAGGGCAAAGCGAAGTACAAGAGAACGAGAAACATCTTGCTGTCTTTGGTTTCCCCAAACGACTTGATGTGTCACAACAAAGATGATCAGCATGTAGATATTCCAATACCGCCGAGGTCTAAAGGCTCCAAGTTCAGATCCATTGAATTCAAGGGGAAAGAAAAAAAAAAAAAGCCACCAAGCAAAAAAAACCCCACAACCCCTTCTCCTCTTCACCGCTACCACCACCGGCGGCAGGAGCAGCGACGCAAACGCTGAGCTTTTCCCTTAGATTTCAGGTCTGAGCAACCTGCAGGCACAAGCGCTGACTCCAGTGCGGGAGCGAGAGGCGCACGCACGGTTTATGTGTGTGTGTCTGTGTGATGTGTGTGAGTGAGCGAGCGAGCGGCAGCGGGGCAGGAGCGCCGGTCGCCTCCTTGGGTGGGCAGCGCCTGTTCCCAGGGAGGGACCGAGAGGCACGGGGGGCGGGAGGGGGGTGCCCACGCCAGACCGCAGCGCCCGCCCGCCCCCGGCCGCGCAGCCGGGGCCAGCCGCTGGTGTCAGCCCCGCTGGTGGCAGCCCCGGTGGCAGCACCTCTGACAGCCCCGAGCCGCGGCTTCCCGAGCCCCCCACCGGGGCAATTCGCCTCTTCCACCCCCCCGACCGCAACTTTATTGACGCCGGGGCCGGGGCGGTGCGCGGGGCCGCGCAGGCTGCGCGGAGCGCTCGCCGCCGGGGCGGAGCGGGGGTGGCCGCGCTGCCGGCAGCCAAACTTTGCCAGGGAAAACTGGGACGGGCGGGAGGCGCGGCCGCTCCGGTTCCGCCGAGCAGAGCGGGGCCCCCTCGGCCTCGAGAGCGGCCCCGGCGGGCGCGGATCCCAGCGGGCGCCGCCGGCACCGGGCGAGCCGGGGAGAGGCGGCGGCCCCGCGGCGATGCTCCGCTCCCCGCCCGCCCTCCGCGGGGCTCGGCGGTCGCGGCCTCCCCCTGCCGGCCCCGCCGCCCGCGGGGGAAGGTCCGGAGCGTCCCGCAGCGGCCCCGGGAGCGCCGCCCGTCCTTCCCCGCAGCCTCCGCGGGGCGGGCGGGCCCCGTATCCCTGCAGTGCGCGGTGCGCTCCGGCCCTCGGCCGGGCACAGCGCTGTGTATCGGCTTCCACTTGGCTCCTGAATAAACAAAGCGAACATATGTCCCATATTCGTGACAGATGGTTCAAACAGAGAACTATTTAGTGGTTTTCCCACAGTTGCTACTATGTACCACTCCTCCGAAACCCAGCAAAATGCAATTAGCCTAAAATAGCTTCAGCTTCCAGATTTCCGTATTTTCATGTGTGGAAAATTTGATTCAGGTGTTTTAATGTTCTGGCTGCAATCAAATGTGTTAAATTGTTTTGGAGTTATTTTTTTCTATTTTTAAAAGAAGTCAGCGTATATGTTCCTTGGCAGTTTTGTCAACAAGCTATTTGGTCCATTCGACTCAAGGAATTTGCTTCTCCTTGCAATAAATTTTGCCTAAAGGAGTTTGAGTCGCCTCATGAGATGGGAGATGATCAGGCTGGCCACTTTTATAGCAAAAACTGGATGGCAGATGGAGCTAAACTGTTGAAAGGTACTTCAAAACACTTATTTAAAAGCCTAGCATATGCCAGGATATACAGAGAGTACAACATTCATAGAGCCCAAATGGAAAGGGCTTATTTTTGTTTGCTTTGCTGTTCGGTTTTTTTTTTTTTTTTTTTTGTTTTGTTTTTTTTTTCCCTCTCTTGCCACTTTTTCTAAACAGATGGATTTGAATTATACCAAAAAAAAAAAAAAAAGAGCCCCGAAACCCATGACCCACAATAAAATTAAACCAAATCCAACAGAACCCAAAAAACCTGTGTAAAGTACTGGTTCTCTCAATGAAATTGTAATAGTGATATCAACTTGAAACTGATTAAGTCCCAAGTTTTGTGGTTTGGTTGTTTAATGTGAAGAGGCATAAACTATTAAATGGTCACGAAGTCTATTATCTGCTGCACATACGAGGATGTAATTGGAGGAACAAAGACAATGACCAGATTTCTGGAGTATTTCAGGGTAATTAGAAGGTGCTAAGTTGGTGATAGCATTGACGATTGGAGACAGCTTCAGCTTCTCAAATCGCTGGTATTTAATGAAACAAGTTGGTCTTCTAAACACTTCAATAGAAATTGAGCTGAGTGATAAGGAGAGATGATTACTTCTTCACTGGTAATTTTGACATCATTATGGCATACAGATAAGCTCTGTATAGAAGTTATCTGTGTATCTAACACAAAGGTAGCATAATTCTCCTGTCATTTAGAAACTAAGTCAAGATTCACAGCAGAGGGTAGCAACTGAAAATCAGGCTGAAATCCAGGCCACTTTTTACAAAACCATTCATGCTTTAATGTCCTGAACACATACATACATACGCGAATACATATATACATACAAGTTATTGGGCATTTAAAAAAGCAACACATTGTAAATCTCTGCATTAACAACTACTTTTGCTGTTATAAAACACGGCTTTTGTGGGGTGTTTCTGTTACAGTAAAACTGAACTCGCATTTTAAGTGTTAAAAGTTGAATAAAATGTCGCTGACAGTTCAGAAATAACAAAACAGCTGGAAAACATGCATCCAAAAATTCTTAATACTATCTAAACACTCCTCTTGCCAGTATTTTGACTCATCTCTGGAAAACTACCACCCAAAGTGAAAAAAGGTTAAAAGGTTTTAATCGAGAAAAAAAGTTTAAAATGCAACCATGTTTGAAGGTCAAGATCCAAGAAGAAAGTCCAAGCTGCATACAGTTGCTCAGAATATCCAACTGCTACACACTCCTTACCAGGACAGTAGGTGGGAGACAGCTCCTTACCAACCACAAGGACATTTTTCCATAGCAGAAATTATTTTTTTTTTCCTTTTTCTCTTTCATATATGGAATTATTTATAAATTTCTGTTGCACACAAAACCTCATAAGCCACTCTGTGGCTGGAGGCATAATCCTTTGGGTCTTTGGAGTGTTTTCCAACTGCCTTTTACTTGCCCTGGGGTAAAATTAAGTCATTGAATGTTTTGCTGTTGATTTCAGTCAAACCAAGGTCTGCCTTACAATTTGTATCTGTCAATCATTCAACTAATGAATCTCTTCAGATAAAAGAAAAATAAAAGAGTAAGCCATACAGAAGTACTTAATGCAAATATTTTAAAGTATTGTTAAAGTACTTTTTAAAATATTCTGCTGGTCAAGTTTTATAAAAAAGTTTCAGAACAATTAATATAATATAACATACATAAGGTGGAGCTGGTGAGGACAAACACTTCATTACAGGAAGGATGATGACACAATCACCACTGGATTATTGTTTAAAGGCCATTACAGTATAAATAATATGGAAGGTAGAACTAAATACTCCAAGCTAGTTGCTGCCAGCATTAACTGCCAGTACTTCAGTCTTTATGTAGTTGTAGTTACTGGTTTCTTTCTAGTTGGAAGCTGTTATACTTCACTGGAAACTTCTCACAAAGAAAAGGCAAAGTAATGTGGATAGTGGGATTATTTGACACTAAAACTTCAGTAAAATCAGTGCTTCAAACCCTTTTCTTTCCAAGTAGATTGAGGTAAGGTAAGCCCTAACACTGGGCAGTTTTCAGCTTCCTGTCACCTTTCAGCCTGGGCCCAAATGCTCTGAATGCAGGAACAGCATCAAGCGAGGGCAGCCTGTATCCATCCAGGCCATCTGCTCCAGGAGGCCAGGCATGCACAGCAAAACCAGAACTTCACTGCCTTCTGTCCTTCTGCCTCCTCCTCTGCATGTAAACCAATGACAGCAAACTCCTCAGAGGTGTCCCATGCAGAGGTGCCTCCCTCAAGGGCAGTGCATGTGGTTTTGCAGCCGGTTCCACCTGCAAAGGCTGCAGTGTTGGAGCATTGTGTTGGGTTGGTCTGGGGATGACAATGTACCCCTGAGCTGACAAGGAGGCTGAATTAATCCATTGCCTGGCCCAGGGTTAGCCTGCAGATTCCCTTTGCCATCTCTGCCACAGACCTTCTTCTAAAGAGTGAACCCTGCAAGAAAATATTGGAGTTGGAGCCACTGAGCCCAGGGAACATTACACAGCATTACCTGCAGTGCCGCTAGGTATGTGAAGAGAAAGTATGCAGAGAATAAGAACAGTGCCATGAACTTTAAATATGATTCTTAAGGGAGTGGAGAGGTGAAGCAAAGCTAAAGTTGAACTAATGAGTCAGATCCAGCAGGTGGGGGAGAGCAGGCTAGTGATGGGAAAAAGCCTCTGTGCTGTGGGAGCACAAAAAGTAGTGTTTACACAGGAGGCTTTCTTCAATAATGAGAAAGGGAGAATAGAGAAGTTAGAGAATTACTAGGGACTGGGGGAACAGTCTGAACTGCATTTTTTGTCTTACATTTATCTGCTTACCCTGAAGTCAAAGTGCCTTTTGGTGGGAATAAGGCAAGAAGGATTTGCTCAAGGCATTAAAGTTTTGTAAAGGGCAGATTAAATAACAGCGCTCCAAAAATCAATTTTGAGGGGCTTATGAAACCTTGAATGGGCTTTTGCAGCACAAAAGCAAGATTGAGTTTTTACTGAACCTGTCATTTATTTGGGTTTAGAGCTTTCAGTAAGTATCAGAAAAAAAACCATAAAACAAAAGCAAAGTAAGCAATGAGCATTCACACAGCAGTCAAATAAAAAACACATGGAGGTGCAATCCAGATTACTAAGTGACTTAATTGATGTAAAAGTATAAGAAAAGAAAGTCAAGGTTTCATGTTTGCCATCCCCCCTCCCTGAGCTTTAACCAGACCTGGTAGTGAATTCCCTGGACTGAAATCCAAAACTTCTTGGCCAGGAAGTTTTTCCTAAACTCTTGCATCCCTGTTCTCACCAAAAGTTGTGCTGATATACTATGAAGCCACCTGGAAGGAGGAAAAAAAAAAAAGAAGAAGAAAAGAAAGGAAGAAAAATAAACCTACAAAATTCAGTAGAATAGGTACAGAAACACCAAAAGAGTACAATGCACGTCAGAGTTTGCAGTTAAGAAACACAACACACTGGTTACCCCTGAAAACATGAAAATGCTGATGGAACTGCAG